GGGGGGGGGCTGGGAGTCTCTCTGGAATTCTGCCAGCTTGCTGGATAACTGGCTCTGCTGTTACAGACCAAATGTGAAGAAAAAAAAAATCTCACCAGTTCTGCAGTAATTTCCTTCCCTCTAAACCCCACAAGTCAGATTGTGCTTCTTTCACAGTACAGTGACATATTATTCTAGCACACTGGAGACTACAGCCTGCTAACTGCACTCTGCTGGATGGACCGTGGCCGGGGTGGCATCATGCACATCGCTCCGGTTGTGTTGCTGTTTATTATGGTGTTGAATGGGAGCTTGACAGGTAATTATGTTTCCTGAAATATCCCTGTGCATACAAACACAGGCTCATCCTGTCTTAGCGGAGCTTGCCCCTATTGAGGTGAAGGCTTCTTTCCAAAGTCCCCCCCATGACACTTTTCATGTCTAATAATGCTTCTGAACACATAGTAAACACGTTACCATTCACCATTTCTCTGCAGCCTTCACTTTTGTAACACATGGTATTTTATAAGATTAGTTTAGCACATTTTGTATTTTGAGGATTTTCTTACATTTTCTAAAAGGTAAACAGCATGTACATATGGACATCACATAGCCCAACTATTTTTGTTATGTATGCTGAATATAATTTTCCAGTTTTTGTTCTTTCAAGTAAATAAGTAAGTACCACTGCCTCTTATCTGTATGCTGGGTGTCATTTTTACTATCAGTTCTAATCTGTATGTAGGGTTGTACAATGGATCTAATGGTCATCTTATTCTGGTTGTATAAAAACTGAACACCACCACTAGCCTTATCCTGTATGGCACATCAGCATATTTTTATACAGTATTGGTCCTGTTCTGTATGTGTGGATGCTGTACTGAAGCACTTGTTTTGTTCCGGATGCTGGGGGTAATTCTCAGTATCTGTTCTGTTCTTATTTTAGATGTATGGACAGTGGACGCTGCTCAGTAGCACTTGTCTTTTTCTGTATGCTGGGGGGAATTCTCAGTATCTGTTCTTATTTTAGATGTATGGACAGTGGACGCTGATCAGTAGCACTTGTCTTGTTCTGTATGCTGGGGGTAATTCTCAGTATCTGTTCTTATTTTAGATGTATGGACAGTGGACGCTGTTCAGTAGCACTTGTCTTGTTCTGTATGCTGGGGGTAATTCTCAGTATCTGTTCTTATTTTGGAGGTATGGACAGTGGACGCTGCTCAGTAGCACTTGTCTTGTTCTGTATGCTGGGGGTAATTCTCAGTATCTGTTCTTATTTTAGATGTATGGACAGTGGACGCTGCTCAGAGGCACTAATCTCATCCTGTATGCTGGGTGTAATTCTTAGTATCTGTTCTTATTTTGGATGTATGGACACAGCTCAGTAGCACTTCTCTCATCCTATATGCTGGGTGTAATTTTTAATATCTGTACTTCCAAGGTATGTGTGGCTATTGCACACGACTATTTATTTTGTTATTATGCTAGGTGTAATTCAAGTGTTAGTTACAGAGGAAAAGGACTTGCTAAAGATAAAGAACTGTTCACTTATCACAGATCATGTTAATTTTCAAAAGTGTATGTTCACTTTGAAAATGGATGATAATAAATAAAGTTAACCTGTGTTCACTTTAAATATCCGATCACATGCAAAGGAATGAAAAAACAGGATTTTTGCTCACAAATGACTGGCTGATTAAAGTAAACACAGCTTATTTACAAAGACCAGTGAGCATTTACTTTGCTAAGTGAACAGTCTCTATTTCATTAGTAAATCAACCCCTATATCTGCATTGATCCTGCATATTGCTTCCATCCTGGAAATAATTCTTGCTCTTGATCCATTCTTTACTATAAAATTGCACTTTATAACTTACTATGTTGCATATGTCCCTTTTTTCCTGTGTGCATTCTAAGCCATACCCTTTAAACATTTATCTGTTTACACCAAAGCTAGTGCCACTTCTTATCACCCTCTAAACTCTTCTCCCATGTTGACATATTTGGAACTGGTTTTGCAAAGTAAGGGGCATTGCGTTTTAAAGTAGTATTAAACGCTCAAACGTTTCAATAATGCATTCAAATCAAACAAGTATACATTGCCCAGCAAAGCATTTCTTTACATTTTCACCCCAAGACTTACAGTCATCATGTTTCAGAACAACTCTAACTCGTTCAGCTCAGTTTCCCTGAACTTCCTGTTCAGTTCAAGATCACAAGGGACAGCACAGTCTCCAGGAACTATCTATCTACTAGCTTGGAGGAGTGTGTGTGTGTTTTTAGAGGCACTCACAGCTTCCTAGCCCATACAACGGTGGCTCCATAGGACCCTGCAAGAGACAGGAAGCACCCTAAAACAATTCAGGGCCAGTGCTCAGGGGACCAGCTGATTCTGCAGGAAACTAAAACTTTTAAACATCAAGGAACAGCACCCATTGTAAGTGATTCAGTCAGCATTTGAAATAGTTGAAACACTTTTTGATTTTAATATCACTTTAATATTTATTATTTGATGCTTGTTGCCTCCTATTTTAAAGAACGTCAGCCCAAAAAAATGTAAAAGCCCATTAAAAATAAACATTTAAAGAAATATTGTCATAAAAAAATAATAATAATTATGACCAATGTGTATTTACTGTCTCCATGCTCCAGTGTTGTCCCTGGCTTTCTCCTCAGTCTAACAGTCGAGATCCCCTCCTGGGCAGAACAACACTCATTCTGCCCATTTCCTGTGAGCCAAGCCTGTCATTTACGAGCCATGCTAGAGGATGCATCAATACACAGTCAGGACTCACAGCACTCCAGGACCGAGTGGGGCTCACACATATTATATGAGCACCACTTAGTGCTGAAGAATGCATGTCTCCTCCAATCATCAGAAGGAGAAGCAGGAGACTACAGGGTCACATGCTTGTACAGTTTACATGCTTGTATTAAAAAAAAATGCACTTAATGATGCATTAGTGAAAGCAGAACTACATTAATGTATGTCTTTTATATCTGCCTAAAGTTCAGCTTTAAGTTAATACTCACAAGTGTTCTCATCATCTGTAAATCTTCTTTTTTTAGAAATAAATTCTGTTTATTAATTTTAATCATGTCATACAAGAAAATAATACACAGCATATCACCTAATATTGTGGCAGAAACATAGTTACATAGGACAGATAAACAGTCAAATCATCACACAAGAATCCCAACCCAACCCCGTGTGCACAAGGGTAGGTACATCACTCTTCTTCCAATGAAGGACAATAGGTTTTCTGGCATAAAAGAACAAAGTTTCCAACAACATCCTGGACACATTGTTAAGAGCAACTCGCTCTGTAAGTCCCAAAAGGCACACAGATATATATCCACAGGAAGAGCTAAATTCATTATAAATTGACAAATCTCCTTTCAGAAGTCCGAAACTCCCTGACAGTCCCAAAATGTATGCCTAAAGTCTGCAGGTAGGAACCCACATATCCAACAAGACAAAGATACATTCCATACATGGCAGCCAGCCTAGCCAACATATTATAAATTCTATGAAGTAATTTAAACCGTATCAATCTGTCCCTGGCTGAGATTAGATGTGAGAACGAGTAATCCCAGACATCCCGCCAATCCTCCTCATCCATGTCAACTACATCTCGGGACCATTTAGTCCTGCACCGAGCCATGACCGGATGAGTAGAGTAAAATAGCGCCTGGTAAAGTCTTGATAACAATTTGCTCACTCCCATTTGACACAATCTCTCAGCTGAAAATTCAGACATATGACAACCCAAAGGCGCGTACTGAGCCCCAAGAGCATGACATAGTGGAAGATATCGAAAAAAAAAAGAAATTAGGTAATTAGGATTATTACCTATTAGGTAAATTAGGTAATTAGGAAAGTTTCGCTTTCATAGCATCAAAACTAAGCAACGTAGAATCCTGAACCATATCCTTCAACATCCTAACTCCTTTCAAAGTCTATAACTGAAAATACAGTAGAGAATAAAAATGTTGGAGATGTGGGTTTCTCCACAATGGCAGTCCATACCTTCAGGGTATAAAAGAGAACAAGTCTGCACCCAAGCCCCCAGGGTGGACTCCATAGATAACGTGAGAGGGTAAGGAGCCCCCTTCACCCTATACACCAAAACAGAAAAGGCCCCACCCTGGGTCCAGGGGTTTTGCAGCATACATAGTTTTATACGCGGCACTGAAATACACCAAAAAAGAACCCCATGCATTGATTACGTTTGCAAAAGAATGTGGATGGGATGGCAACCAAGACATTTCGTAAGAAATACAAAATCACAGGTAGAAGTTTCATCTTAATTAAGTTTACCTTACCAATGAGGGACAGAGGGAGATGTTTCCAGGGCAACAACTTGGATTTAAACAAACCCAAAAGAGGCCAAACATTTAAAGACCGGTAATCCAAGGCTCCAGCAGTAATCGTAACCGCAAGATATGTCAACTGTGACACCCACTGTAGAGGAATCTCAGGACCCGCAAGATTACCCATGAATCAATAGGGAGCATGGTAGATTTAAACCAATTGACACAAAGACCTGGAAAAAATTGAAAAATCATTAAGTATCCGCAAAGCTTCCATTAAGGATGGAACCACACCAGCCAAGAAAATTGTCAGCATAAAGAGCTAATCGTTTCTTCAATACCCCCACCCGAAGGCCAGGCAGAGAACCTGATGTCCGTATAGCAATGGCAATGGGTTCCATTAGTAAAGCAAACAAACTAGGAGACAAGGGACAACCTTGTTGCGTTCCTCTAGAAATCTGAAAAGAAGCCAAAAGGGAAGTACCTCTTTTCAATCTAGCATTGGGAGAGCTGTAAAGTATACTAAGCCATCTAAGAAAATTAGGTCCAAACCCCATCTGTCGCAATACCTCCCACACATAGCCTCAATCCACCAATTCAAAAGCCTTCTCAATAGCCAAGAAAACCAAAACCCTAGAGCCAACATTATCATGAAAAATCTGTAAATGAGTAAATAACCGTCTTAGATTAGTGTCCGCCGATTTGCCTGGAATAAACCCTGTTTGAGCTATATTAACAAGGGATGAAATAACCCAGGAAACAGGCAGGGCAATATCTTAGTCAAAACTGTAACGTTTATATTGAAAAGTGCTATTGGACGATAAGAGGTACATAACATTTGGTCCTTACCCGGCTTAGGAACAAAATGACATGGGCCATAAAAAAAGTCTGTTAGGACTCCAAACAGTGGGCATTCAATGAACATAATCTGGGGGCCAGCTGCTCTGCATAGCGTTGGTACCACTCAGCAGGAAAACTGTCTGGTCAAGGAGATTTAGTTCCAAA